AACTTGTGATTATAGTGACAACGTTAATCCTCTTTAGAGTGATTAACAACTGGACGTAGGGTCTTTTGATCTGAACCAATATAAATCATCTGTGTAATCTTCTTTCCCTTTATCTCTTTACATTACAAGCATTTTAATCAGTAAAATTTGGGGAAAATTTTTAAAACCCTAATTTTTATAAGAAACCAATTCACCCCTCCCCCCTCTTGGTTTTTGTCCCTAAACGCGAACATTTCGCTGCGCGATTCTAACAAATCTTTTACTCTTCTCCAAATTTGTCTAGGTGTTAGCCGAGGAGGTGAACCTTTTACTTCAACTTCTCCCTTTCGAAAGGCTTTAATGTTTCTTCTAAATGGATGATAATTTGGTAAGAACATTCGATGCGAATCAAACCAACAACTTTTACGATCATAATTTAATGTAAAGGATTTTTTATGCTCCATGCAATGTGGGCAAGCCAATCTACCATGAGTCCCGCAACCAGATAACATCCCATAAGTGGGAAAATCATTAATTGTCCACAATAAAGCTGCCCTCATCATAAAATTTTGTTTCTTTGAAATATCGGATGCGAGAGCACCATTCCACAATTTTTTCAAATCATTAATTAAAGGCTCTAAGTAAACATCAATAGAGGCCTTTAGATTGGATGGACCCGGAATTAGAAAAGTTACAAACATATATGGCTTGGTCATGCACATTTGAGGAGGAAGATTGTATGGAGTAACAATGATAGGCCAACAAGAATAAGGTGAAGATGAAGCCTGAATATATGGATTAAATCCATCATAACATAACTCAAGTCTGACATTGCGTGGATCAGTAACAAAAGTTGGATGTTTTTTATCGAAGTGTTTCCAAGCTTCACCATCTGATGGATGGCGTAATACATCGAAAGTTTTATTGTCATGGTGCCAAGTCATTTGTCCAGCAGTTTGCATTGATGCAAATATTCTTTGTAATCTAGGAATTATAGGCAAGTAAAACATGTACTTTACTGGAACTGGCTTTTTATGGGTTGTTCCACTACTTTTCTCATGATATCTTGGCTTTTGACAAAATTTGCATTGAAGTAATGTAGCATCTTTTTCTCCATTGTCATTGTCATAAAAAAGCATACACCCACTCACACAACAATCGATCTTCTTCACCTCTAATCCCAACTTTGATACTAATCTCTGGGCATACTAATCTTCTACACAACAATCGCATTTGGTGCATGGACATCGAATTCCCCCATCACGTTCGTAATACTCATATTGTCGAGTAAATCTAACAAACTCTTCAACCCCTATAACAAAAGACTCTTTCAAACCTCTTCTACCACTATAACATCTATCATACATCCAACCGCGACTGAAAGAAATACCATCCATGTTCTGTAATATTGAAGAGAATAAGATCAATTGAATGAATTGTTTGAAAGAAATCGACCATTGAATTTTGATTAAACTATGCTCCAAGTAAATCGAACATTGATTAAACATTGGATTCAACATAATAATACTAAGCTACTTTTATGTTGTCAAATCCAATTTAACATTGGACTTTCAAGCAATTAGGCTTGAATAAAAAAGGGATCAGTGTACTAAAACTTATTTGCAAATATATAAAAGGAAGAATCAACCAAGTTAAATCAAGAAATGTCAATATTCATGAACTCAACTCACCTCAGCACAAATAAATCCCCTTTCAAAATCAGTATGGATAGTCCATGGAGCTTGAGGAGCCTTTGTTTGGCGTCTGATTTGCCAACACTTAACCTTCAAGAAGTATCGTGTACCAAAAAAATTATTAAAATTGAAAGACAACAGATGGTATGATATTAGACATGGAAAAACTATTGGTAAAATTGTTCAAGAGAATTGTTGTAAACCTGCATGTGACGATATATAGTATTATTGCTTAATGCTGAGTGTCATCCATGTCTTTTCTTTTAGCAATCATCTCACACCAATTTTAAAAAATGAGAACAAGTCACAAAACTGATCTATTTTTTAGAATTGGAATAGTTCATCTTTGACATACAAGTATGTACTTTAACTTTTGGACCCCTTGCATTATTTGACCCAAGTTATAATATATATTCTTCCTACACATTCATTAATTCAAATCAAGTTGGTTATATATTCACAATTAACCAACCTTAAAAAATAAGCATTAAAAAGCAACCGTACACGTGTCTTATATAATGAGAGTAAAATTTTGTCCTAATTTAGAAGCATGTAACTTCTTGTTTAGGAAAACAAGAGTTTAGGAAAACAAGAGCTAATCTTAAGGAAGTTTGTCTTAATACATTAGACAAACCCTAGTTAAAAGCTTTCTACCTATTAAGTTTTTGTACTTGCACATATGAATATAGGAATTTGAAGTACTTGATGAACAAGTTATTAACATGTTAGTAAATCATATCATTTTTCGTAACTTAATTATTACATTCCAAACTGTAATTTTTACACGCAAGTCCCACAACTCATGATTAATGCCTCTATCATAAGAAATAAATTAAATTTAAACGACTTTTCAACGTCGTTTCTAATAAACCGACGTTGAAAGTATAACTTTTTAAATTAATAATTTTTATTTATTTACAACCCCTTTACCCCCTTTTATTTATCTAGAAGTCTCTCCTCTCTTTATATTATATTTTTATTAGGTCCTCCATCTCTTTATATTATATTTTTTAGAAGTTTATTAATTTTTGAAGAGAATTGTCATTGGCGGATTCGAACCCGAGTACTTTAGAGTTGGAGGCTGATACTCCAACCACTAAACTACTAGAATTTTTTGATAATAACTTACAAATAAATTATATTTATATACAAATAAATATATATCCGTGTAAATATATAAATATATAAATACAAATATATTTATATATTTTGATATATTTATATAGTTATATATTTATATCTTGGATGTGAGGGCACACTCGAAAGTGAAAGTGTGTGTCGAGTGGGTTTTCAAAATTTGATGCTAAATTTGTGAGCAGGTATCTTTATATGAGTTTGTAATTTAATGACAGAATATAATCTTTATAATTTTATTTATATAATGATATAAAATAAATTTGGGAAACGCGTTATTTTCTCTCAAGCGAAAAATACCAATTTTCGCTCAAGCGAGACTTGAGTAAGTGAATTTCCGTGAGCTTTAACATATTTTCACTCAAGCAAGAGTCAATCACACTTTCACCCTCGATCGAAAAATACCAATATAATTTATTTGTAATTTATTATCAAAAAATTATAGTAGTTTAGTGGTTGGGATATTAACTTTCAACCCTAAAATACTGGGTTCAAATGCTATCCGTGATAATTCATTAACTTAAGAGAATTTTTGGCTGAAAATAAAAATAAAAATACTTTCCAGAAAATATATACAAATAAATATATATTTACATGGATATATATTTATTTGTATATAAATATAATTTATTTGTAAGTTATTATCGAGAAAATTCTAGTAGCTTAGTAGTTGGAGTATCGGCCTCCAACTTTAAAGTACTGGGTTCGAATCCCGCCAATGACAATTTTCAAATTTAAGTGAGTTTTTGGCTGAAAAAAAATAAAAAAAAAGACTTTCAACGTCGGTTCATATGGGAACCGACGTGGAAAGTGTCAATAAGTAAAAATAAAAATAAAGACTTTCAACGTCGATTTATCTAGGAACCGACGTAGAATGTGTTTACTATTCAACTTTCAACGTCGGTTCATCTGGGAACCGACGTGGAAAGTACTTTCTACGTCGTCTCATCTGGGAACCGACATGGAAAGTACTTTCTACGTCGTCTCAGCTATAACCGACGTTAAATGACGACGTAGAAAGTATATTTTGTAGTAGTGTTTTTAGGTAAATTTTTTACGCAACAACAATTCATAAGAAATATATAAAGTGATACAAACGCATGAATATATAAAACTAATCCTAACAACAATGCAAAAGCAAATTACATACACTTCATCCTAAACCAAAAAGGAAAAGTGGATAAAGAAAAGAAAAGCAAGCAAGTAGAAAAAAAAAGTTGGGAACATTTTCTTTCATTTCTCTTTTTGACGTTGTCTCATTTTCATCAGTGTCACATTTTTACTTTTGAAAAACTTGCCATGCAAGTGTTACAATTGGCAGCGTCACTTTTGTACTAGGACACTCCCCTTTGGATGTGTACCTTCACTTATATTAATTAATTGATTAATTTATAAATAGTTAAAACTAGCTTGTTGAAAAACGTATTCATTATTAATGAATATATTGGATTTGACAAATAGGTGTAGAAAGAGTTCGTATTTCTCAACAGAATGCAGAGAAGCTAGCCAAAACAGCAGTAATAATGACTGAAGGACCCAAAAAACAATCATCTTAGCCTTCAGCTACTCAACACAGTCAACCTAAGTAGTTACTAGTTAGTGGTATTCTTCTCTTTTCTTAATCTAACAAGTATTAATCCACCATGAAACAAAATAAATATTACTTTTAGAAACATTTATGGTACTAAATTTTAAAATAGTTAAGAATCATTTTAGTATGTATGTGAAAAATAAAAAGTGGGTATAGTGTAGCATCTGGTCCTTTATATATACTTTATAGCAAACTAGTGTCATGACAATAAAAAGTAACAAACAATTAATTTATTTGTTGTTAATTTTTTTGGCATGAATTTTGTTGTTGTTGCCTTTAACAAACAAGGATAAGAACCCATTATCTATATCCTATAAATTGAAAAGGTATATAGCTATTAGCAAACAAAGAAAATACAAGGCTTCTGGTAAACAGCATATGAATCATGCAGGCCTCAATATGTGAAACCAAATTATAGAATATGAATCAAATTTATTGCCTAACTAAGGTAAAGTATAAGATGCTGCAACATTATCCCTCCATTACCCCACAGTTCAGTTTATTCCATTCCCTCAATTTATTGCCAATTTGGTGTAATTGGCCTATTATTATGCTTAAGCTCAGCTATAAATTGATGTATTTTGTAGTGTTAAAACTTGAGGCTAGGTGAAGTGTTTGCTTAGAAGAGTATTTAAAATGGCATCCCTCAAAGCTGACAAAACTATTGACAAATTTTCTTCCTCTGCAGGGCAAGTGAGGAAAGAGACTTCTGCCAAACCTAGTTCAGGCACCTCCAAAGCCCCAGCCTGCAAACCAGCTCCAAAGAAAACTCCAAGCCAGACTATCTTCTTCTCCTAATTTAAAAATTAAGAATAATTATTTTTTCTATTAATCACTGTGCTTCATATTGTTTTGTTTACTTTTTTTATCAAGGTAGTGCATCTTTTCCTATATTTGTCTCCTTTCTCTGCTTTTCATGCCCTCAACACTCTTTGAACCCCGCTTTCACTACAAAAGCTAACCCAACGATCCTAGTTTTTTATTTTCTTCAACCTCGCAATAAAGCCCCACTTATAGTTTAATAGATTTTGATTCATATTTGTCGCCGCCATCAAAAGAGATGGTTGGAGCGACGCGATGGTTTTGAATGACTCACATTTTTTATAAAGATGGTTGACATTCTTAAGATGTCCGATAACCAGACTGATCTTAAGGATGAAGTTTTTGAAAAAGGTTATATGGATTCACCACCAGTGTTTTAACCTTAAACACTGAAAAAGTAAAAAGGCATTGCTTTTAGAAAAAACCAACTTTGACCATTATAACCAGAGTCGGGTAAGGGAGTTAGTTACGTGTGGGGAATGTATTAGCACCCCACCACGCCCGTTTTAGGTTCCCTATGATGGACTAATTTATAAAATAAATACTTAAAGAAACTATGCTTTTACCCTATTATTTTATCTGCTTGCAGAATTTAAATGTCTACATGGCCCTAATATCTAATGCATACAAGGAAAGCGATAAAGAAAACAGTAAAAGAGAGAGAATAGGGAAGGAACCTCTGAAGCGAGCTTTATATTAACTCTTGAACTTGAGGACGCTTTTTGGTTGTCCCTGCACTCTACAAGCACGCTCCTCCCGCAAAAGAGAAAATTTCACTCTACCGAGGGTCGGATGTCTTAAAGAGAGACCTCCTTAACCGATTTCTACCTTAACGAAAATTGGAAAGCTCACTCGAACTCTAGAATAATGCTCAGAGTCACTCTAAAGTGCCAAAAGGCTTCCTAGAGAGTGGTAGGAGTTAATAATGGTGAGAAAATGGTGAAATGAGGCTCCTATTTATAAGGAACCACGCCAGGAAAAGTGGACGGGTTGTCTTGGCTTAGTGGACTGCCGTCCATGGCAAAAAGTGAGTATGGACGGCCGTCTATGTAGAGTGTACGGTCATTCATGGCTAAAAGATACCATGGACGGTTGTCTGGGCTAAGTGGTTGGTTGTCCATTGCCTTAAAGTAGATATGGACGGCCGTCTGGCTAACCTGGACGACCATCTGTTGTTCCCGACGAAATTTTTGATTTTTATTACCTCTAAAAACCCTTCCTATCTTAAATGGAACCTAGAAAAAGCTACTAGGGACTTAACAAAGTCTTGACCATCTTAGAAACATTAGGAAGCCGAGCAAGATTTGGGGTCTACAGCTGCCCCCCCTTCACCCGACCAATTGACTATGGGCTAATGTACCACAAGGTCGATTGGCGGGTGAATGAGTTAATCATCTTGCCCAGTTGTCCTCTGGATGCTCCTCTTGTCGTGGTAGCTGACCCTCAGGACTATGAATGTAGTATGGTGTTGTCTTCAAGATGCTTCCTTGCTGCAGAGGATGACCCTTCAAACGATATGTGTGAAGCTTCAGGATGCTCCTTTGGTGCGGTAGCTGACCCTTCGACTGATGAAGATTTGCCTTTGGGATGCTCCTTTGATGCGGTAGCTGACCCCTCAGGTGGCGAATGCATAGTAGACTCTTGTCTTGAAGATGCTCCCGTGCTGCGGAAGTTGACCCTTAGGACGATAGAGGTGGGTTGTGTCTTCCGGATACCCCTTTGAATGGGACTGATCCTTCAGACGTCGTACATAAATCTTGCCTTCAAGATACTCCTTTGTAGTGGAGCTAATCTTTCGGGTGATGATGGAAGATTGTGTCTTCCGGATACTCCTTTGCAATGGAGTTCATCCTTCGGACGATGTGTAGAACTCTATCTTCTAGATGCCCCTTTGTTGTGGTGGCTGATCCTTTTGACAGAGAAGGTGGTGGCGGCTTACTGCTCTAGCTCATGCACCGACTCCATGGGGAGTGATTTTTGTTTGACGTTTGTCAGAGATTCTTGATGAATGCCTCTTAAATAGGCAGGAATCCACTAAGGATTTGTTGATTTAGATGGTGCCTCTGAATAGGCGGATTGCTTCATCGGAAGTGAAGGCTTTTGTCTTCTATTGTTTTGCCTATGTGTAGGCGAGCGACTCACTAAGGATGAGTCTTTGAAGATGGCCTTTGTGGTAGGCTCACTGGGGATAAGTTCCTTTCTTTTTTGGTTGATCAACCGGGGACTTGGTTGACTTCCTCATGGTCAAATTTTGGTTGCCTTCTTGGGAATGGAGTCTTGGCTCCTTGATTATAATGGTGATGGGCTTTTACGAAGCCTTTATTCTCCCTTGGTGGATGTGATGGAGAATGGATGGATCTTCTTGATGACTTATTATGCCGATGATAGTGAGTCATGCGAAGATATTTTTGTTTGCCTCGGGAGTAGGCGATGATTCGCTTGGGGATTTGAGCCTTTCCGTCGGCTTTGTTTTGGTTATAAAGAAAGTCTTCTCTCTATTTGGTGGAAAGATGGTAGTTGGAGCTTTTGATTCTGGACACTCTTATTTTTTGTGGAGTTGTGTGATTGATGATGACTTGCTCCATTTTCTTGAGGGGAGCTTTATTTGGAGACTTGGTCTGTGTTCTTCCTGTTTTTCAATCACAAACATGGAGCTAGTCTCCTTATGCATGATTTTTAAAAGGTTTAATTTTCATGATTTTGACAAAGTCTTTCTGTGCGACTATTTGTGTGTGAATGCTTTAAATGCAGTCCATTTTCTTATTTGATGCATCTAGAGAAGTGACTGCCCCCTTTCGTTGGTTTGTGGACGCTAACGGGCTCTCTTTTTCATTTGCATGTTTTTTGTTTTAACCCTATGTTTTTCCTAGACCGCCTTTTTGGGGTTTTCAATCTAGCGGGTTGCCTTAATTTTTGCCTAAGAATCTCCCAATAGGCATTATTCTTTTTCATTTATCTTCTTATGCTTTCTTGTGCTGGTTCTTTATGCATGCTTATGATTCATTAATGCAAAGGTATTTTCATAATTTGGTCAAGAGAAAAGAAATGAAAGACAATTTTATTGATATAAACAAATAGTTTATTTTTTACAGAAAGATTTACAAAGGAATTTAGAAGCATGGCTGGCCAAGGTTGACTACACTGTATAGTCTATAACAATCATGTCTTTGATATCTCCCCCCTGGTTCTCCTCGTTGCTTCAGTCGAGATGCTCGAGCTCGGAGTGGAGACTATGCAGAGCTAGCCTGCTTCTGGAAGGTTGTTATCTTAGTCGCCTTGCGATTTTCGGCTAAGATAACCATTGCTCTTTTTATTTTATTTTTGTTTCTGAAGCCTCTAAGTTTTGCCTAGGACGTATCCTAGCGAGGTGTATGGACCCTAACTTTTGTCTAGGATGCCCTTTGCCAGTTTTCGTCCTGGTGGGTCATGAGCAATGCCTTTAAGCATAATATTTCTTCACTGCATCTGAATTGACTGGGTGTCAAAATTCTTCTCCATCCATGTTGGTGAGGGTAAGAGCTCCTCCTGAGAAGGCTTGTTTGACCACAAAGGGCCCTTCATAGTTTGTCGCCCATTTTTCGATTTTATCCTTCTGGGCTGGAAGCAATTTCTTTATCACTAAATTGCCCTCGTGATAAGTGTGGGGGTTGACCTTTTTTTCGTAAGCCCTTTTGATTTTCTACAGGTAGGCTTGTCCATGACATATGGTGTCCAATCATTTTTCTTGCATTAGGTTTAACTTATCGTACCGATTTTGGACCCATTCTACTTCCGTCAACTTTGCTTCCATAATGACTCTCAGGGAGGGTATTTCGACTTCCATTGGCAGTACGACCTCCATGCCGTATATGAGGGAAAATGGAGTGGTTCCTGTGGAGGTCCGTACGGAAGTCCGATATTTGTGCAGGGCAAAGGGCAACATTTCATGCCAATCTTTATATGTTATCACCATCTTCAAGATGATTTTCTTAATGCTTTTATTGGCCGCCTCTACTGCACCGTTCATTTTGGGTCAGTATGGAGAGGAATTATGATGTTCATAACTCTTTCAATAAAGAGACGATGGGGATGCCATACCGACGTAAGATGTTTTTCTTGACCAAGGTGGTCACCACTTTCTTGGCAACATGTGCGTAGGATGCCGCTTCTACCCATTTGGTGAAGTAGTCAATGGCCACCAAGATGAAGCGATGACCATTGGATGCTTTGGGCTTGATGGGTCCAATAACATCCATGCCCCACATGGAGAATGGCCATGGTGTAGCCAAAATATTAAGAGGTGTCGGTGGGACATGAACATTGTCGGCGTAGATCTGGCATTTGTGACATCGTTTGGTGTATTGGTGACAATCACCTTCCATCGTGGACCAAAAGTATCCTGCCCTTAGGATTTTCTTTTCCATGACATGCCCTGGCGTGTGGGTTCCGAAGGCTCCTTCATGCATTTCCTTAATTAGGGTTTGAGCCTCTTCTCGGTCCACACACCTCAATAAGTTGGAGTAAAAAAATTTCTTATAAATGGTTCCTCTAATCAACGTGAACCCTACGACTCTTTTCCGGATGGTCATTTTATCATTATCGTTAATTCCCTCGGGATATTCACCCTTCATGAGATATTGCTTGATATCATGGTACCAAGGGGATTTGTCTTCCTCGTTGGTTACTGTCATGCAAAAAGATTGTTTGTCATGCAGCCTGATCTGGATAATCGGTATCTCATGTTCTTGATCCAAGGCAAACATGGATGACAAAGTAGCGAGGGCATCTGTGAACTGATTGTCTTCCCGAGGGATATACTCAAAGGTGATGCTTTCCATCCTCGAAACCATATTACGAATGTACTCTAGATATGGGATCAATTTGGAATTTCTAGTTTCCCATTCACCCTTGAGTTGTTAGATAACAAGGGATGAGTCACCAAAAACTTTGAGTTTGGTCACCCCATGGTCTAGAGCTGCTTGGAATCCCAAGG